CACTACACTACGCTACACTACACTACTCTATGCTACACTGCACTACACCACGGCAAGGTACAGTGCAGTACAGCATAGATTACACTACAATGCAATGCAATGCAATTTAATGCAAACGCACGGCATTGCATTGCCTGACCTGGCATGACGTGATGTGGTGTGATGTCACCTGACCTGGCATGACATACATGCACCTACATACGTATTTACTTACTTACTTACATACATANNCATACATACATGCATGCATACATACTGACTTACGTACGTACATACATAGATACATACATACATACATACATACATACATACATACATGCATACATACATGCATACATACATGCATAGATGCCAACAAAACACACCATGCATACATACGCACGTACATACATACGTACAGCTACATAGAGTTACATACGCACATGATAAAGAAGCTCGTAAGTATAAACGGCATTATACCCCCATGTACATATGCATGCATGCTCACACATCCGCACACGCCAGCATGTCAATACGCACGTGCGCACACACCTGCCGTCACCATCCCCGACTCATGCAAACATACCTTCGTGCAAACATACTGGCCGACCTACTTGCTTGCTCGCTTCTTGCATAACTGCGATTTGCTCAGTTGAAGCTGTCTCCGACACAAGTACCGACACTCGACCTACCTGTCCCACTATCTGCAGGGCTCTCCCGCCTGGCATGCCACAGTTTTTTTGGAGGGCTTACGTATGACCGACCTAGATTCCTGATCGACAACATCTGAACCCCCAGAGCCTCTACACCCTAAAGCACCCGTAAGCCCCTGAAACCCCGAAAGGCTCGAAGCCCTAGACACCCGAAAGCCCCTAGGCGTCCGGGTTTGGGCCACTTCTTTGGAAGCTCTGTGAGGCGGCATGAAGCCGAAGAAGAGACTTCAGAATGGAGCCCAAAGAGGGCGGCCTTGTGGCCTTGAAACCCGAAACGAAGCAACACAGGCTATTTTGTTTTTGGGCTCAGGGTTTAGGGTTTAGGGTTTAGGGTTTCCGAAACAAATATAGGCTTTAGGGTTTAGGTGAAACAAAACCAGATCAGGGCCTGAAGGATTAGAACAGACTTCTCGGGATAGTCTTGTGCAGCTAGATTCAGGGCGAAAAAGGGGGGTATTGGTACGAATTGTGCTTGGATCAGAATCACTAGAAAAAGGTCGGGGCATACTCTAGTAATTATGAGAATACTGGTCACAAACTACCCTAAACCCTAAACCCTAAACCCCTAAACCCCTAAACCCTAAACCCCTCGATATCCAAGAACTCCTCATGGAGCTGTTTCGGGAACGATCTCGCCTGGCAGTGATGGCCTCACCTGTCCGAAAAAAAGGCTAAAAAGTGGTCTCCCTAGCTCCTTTAAAGGGTTCCTTAAAAGGTATAGGGTTTAGGGTTTAGGGTTTAGGGCTTAGGGTTTAGGGTTTAGGGTTATTTACTATAAGGGTACCTATAAAGGTTCTGTAGAGGGGCCTTAAGAAATTAGAATAGGGTTTTGGGGATCCGGCATCTCGTCCTTGAAGCATTTAGGGTTTGGGGTTTAGGGGCATGAAAAGCCAAATATGAAGGGCTATTCTTTGCTTGCAGAATCAGGAGAAACCAGGAGGAAATTAGGAATATTCTTGAAACGCCTGACAAGAAGCAGAATAGCTTACGTATTTCATCCTAGAAGTTCTGTGATCTCATCTGCAAGAAGCCCTAAACCCTAAACC